CTCACATTATGGGTTTTACATAGCCTTGTAAAAATGGAGTCAGGATGACTCACCACATATTTGTTGGGGGGTCATTTTCTAAATTTGGGAGTCATGATTTTCTTTACACTAATACAGTTAAGTTTGGTCTTTCCACGTTGCTATTTTACGAAAGTTATTTCAGTCGCATTTCATTCTGAAAGTGTGTAGATTTGTTTTACAACAACTAGCGGATAAAGAATATTAGCGGTCAGTATTTTAAAGAATGATGTCTGAATTCAGATTTCCTTAGCGAAAAAATTGTGTCAATTATGAATACAAGTAATCTTAGAAACATGCTTGAATATTTCTATTAATTATGTAAACCTCACTCACTCACTCACTCACTCACTCACTCACTCACTCACTCACTCACTCACTCACTCACTCACTCACTCACTCACTCACTCACTCACTCACTCACTCACTCACTCAGTGTGGAAATACTCCCTGACCCATTATGCTGGATTATTCTCAAATTCTCTCAAACATTTCCAAACTTAAACTTTGTTTTGAAAAAGTAACATGTTCTGCCATAAATGGTCTGATCGATGAAACTGTCACATCGTACTTAATTGGTTACTCCTTGATAGAGATTAGTTCCTTTCCTTCCTCCTGAAGGATTGTCATTGTTCCTGAGAGGATATACTTGTGACATAAATAAACTTAAAGTTGATATGCTTGTTAGCTCGAGTGGTCATTACGCAGTTTATATCATCTCTATTCCAGTCGTCTGTTCATCCGCCTGTAGGATATTTACATCACTCCATAGCTTAGTTTAAGTCAAGTTCTTATGGAAAGTTGTTATTTGCTATTTTTGTTTTCTGACCTATGGCCAAGCTACACTGGAAGTTTTGGATCCCATGGCTTGAAAAAGAGTGTCCTGTGTCGTATTGCATTTGGTGTAAAAAGAGGAGTTGTTTCTTTGATACTATTACTTATTTGATACCTCCTTTTAGGCTTGTGGTGCGGAATAAGTCCTAAGTATGCCATGCTTGTTCCTTGACCCCACGAGAATTAGGAGTTTGTCCGTCCGTCCAACTTTCTGTTTGTCCATCGGCTTCTCCAAGGGGACAAAATTTCTCAAAAACTAATAAGACAGAGAAGTTAAATTTTACACACTGATGTTACTGGTCATGATCTCAAATGAGTTAAAAAATTGGTGTGGTGAATTCATTTCATTCAGAGTTATGGCCCTTTTTCCATGCTTTTCAACTTCGTGTGATGCTGTGTGAAACGGGTGAAAGTTTTCTCAGAAACTACCGAAGTTACACGAATGAAAGTTTGCATGCATATCTATAAAGTTGGTTTATGGGTAAAATTTGTTAAGCCATTTTCACGTTTCCCCTCGGTGATATTGCTGGAATATTGCTAAACGAGGCTTAAAACCTTACTCACTCATTCATTTGTTTGAGTATAAATATTTCCATGAATTTCCGAACAATCTATTACAATTGCTAAATTGATAATCACATCCTGAGAAACTGACACCATGAACCAAACATGCTAAATAGAATAGAGACATATTTTATGTGCCTTTGTTGTTGTTTTCAGAGCTAATTTCCAAAACTTGTACATAGAAACTGAAGAAGTTCAATCTAGGCATGGCTGTCTGAGGTTTCTTATTTGCAAGATAGTTGAACAGGATAACTTTATTATTAGGGAACTATCGTGTAATAAATCAATGTCATGTGGTCATCAGATAGTTGATATGTCTTGTGTTGGTATGCAGTTTTCCTTAGGTTTAAAAATGTGACAAGAAAATCAATAGGAATGTCAATAAATTCCTATGATTTAAATGCATTGTCACAGAAACCATAAGGAAATTTGTTATGTGGGAATTATTTTAGTAACATAGATCAGTGATATGATGTTTATGAAGAAGTAGTGAGTGAGTGAGTGGGGTTAAATGCTGCTTTTAACAGTATTCCAGTTATCTCGCAGCATGTCAGCTTAATGTGGGAAGAAAGCCTGAAGTGATGCAGGTCTCAGACGTTTACCACTTCGGTGAAACCCACGAGCACGGGTATGGTGCTGACAAACCTAGAAACAAAATCGTGACGAACCGGGATTTGAACCCACAATCATAGGTTTCTGGTGTGCCCAAGGGACGCAACTCTGCACAGCGAATCGCAGCGCCTTTGACTAGGCCACCCGTGCCCCCTTATGAAGAAGTAATAATATAAATTGGAGTTACAGATGATGTTGAGGAAGTAGCAGGCATTGTAAAATATGACGGCTGCTCAGATACTGCTACTGTCATCGCTGTTTGTTAATGAATCCATTGTACGTGTTAGTCAAGGCCGCTTCACATATCCAGAGTGAGTGTCAATCCAGTGAGTTTCTTGCTAGTATTACAGTTAGTTCATTATTGTGTGTCTGCTTAATCAGGGATAGAAATTGACACGAACCACTAGACAGTGTTGATTAAGTGACATATAGAACCCGTCAAGATCTGGTTAGAATTGGTCTTCAGCAACCCTTGCTTGCCATAAGAGGCGACTAATGGGATCGGGTGGTCAGGCTCACTAATTTGGTTGATGCATGTCGTATCACAATTGCGTAGATCGATGCTCATGATGTCTGGACCAGACTCAATAATTTACAGACCCCAGACATAGCTGGAATATTGCTGAGTGCAGCATTAAACAACAATCAACTACAACGCATGTCATATAGCATGGGGGGCACGGGTGGCCCAGTCGTCTAAGGCACAGCGATTCGCTGTGCAGAGTTGCGTCCCTTGGGCACACCAGAAACCTATGATTGTGGGTTCGAATACCGGTTCGCCCCGATTATGTTTCTAGGTTTCTCAGCACCATACCCATGCTCGTGGGTTTCACCGAAGTGATAAACGTCTGAGACCTGCATCACTTCGGGCTTTCCTCCCACATTAAGCTGACACGCCGCGATATAACTGGAATATTGTTAAAAGCGGCGTTAAACCCAACTCACTCACTCACTCATATAGCATGTCTACCCTGCTCAGCCATATGGCCTCCAACTGTAGATGAATGTTGTCCCCATTTAATAAACCTGACAAAGATCAAATCAAAGAATTTTACTAATGACCATGGCTGTGATGGTATGAACTGTGATGTGAGATACAGACTCACATGGTTCTATATCTTACCATACACATGATACTGCAGTGATTATCAATTATCCAGCATTGTCCAGCTTAAAATAGATCCTCATCTTGAAAGACATGTGACTTGAGCTGAGAGGCAGCCATGGAAACAAAGTGAAAGTGATTAGTGCTAAGTGCTCCAGGCATCTTGTCACAACACCAATTAACCGTCAGGATAACTCTGTAGGTCTCTTCATTATCAGGATTATATGTCACATGTTGCGGAGGATAAACATTCCTTGGAATAACAGTTTTGATGACAGGGATGATATGTTAAGAAGCCCTATAGTTTTCAATACATATGTATTCTATTGGGATTAGCTCTTAGTCTAGAACTCCTTTGATGTTCGGCTAGCCATGGGGGGGCACGCTAGATTAGGTCATTAGTAGATGGTAGAGTTCTTCAGCCCACAGTTATAGGACACCAGTTGTTTGTGAAGTCAGCAAACTCTGTGAAGACTCTTGTTGTGTCACCCTGTAGCAGTTCCTACCTCCCTGGCCTGACGCCTTGGACGTCCCTACACTCAGCATGCTCCTGGGGATTTAGCCTGGCTGGCAGTCTGTCTTACAGACCCTGAAACAATAATATCCAATACAGCCCATGCAAGTCTATAATGTTTGGCAAGTCTAGATTACTGCCGTATCTGAAAATGAAGGAAGTCTCTGGGCTCCTTTTCATTCTATTTTATAACTATAATTTAACAGGTTTTTTCTATAAAATATGTTCATTTCAGAGACTAATTGTTAGTCTACCTGGCTGGCTGTTTGTTAGACTGTTGCAACCCTTTCACAGTTTGTGATGCAAAATTTCGCAATCAGATATAAGAGTACATCAAAATGGCTAAGGTATCATGAAAACACTCTGCTCTTCAGACTCAATTATGTTATAAATTTCTTTGGTTTAGCTGGAATATTGTTGACTACAATGTAACAAACATTCCATCACTCACCTTGATCTACTCTAGATGGTAGCAGTTTGTATGTGTTTAATTCAGTCAAATTTAGCAGTCATTCCCATTGTTTCCTAATCTGGAGCTAAGGTGTGGTTATTATCCCCCGCCCAACAAAGTTGGTGGGGGATATAGAAACGGGCTGTCCGTACGTTCGTCCATCCGTCACGTTTCGTTTCCGGAGCATAACTCAGAAACCGTTCGATATTTTTTCATCAAACTATGCAGGTCTGTCAAGTACATGCTGAACTGGTGCATTTTGCTATTTAGAAATTTTAGAAATTTTTATTTTTTACATTTCCATGGCAACAAGATGGACTTAGGTTCTGTGAGGGTAGGGTTCGTTTCTGGGGCATAACTCATAAACCGTTCAATATATTTTCATGAAACTGTGCAGGTTTGTCAGGTACATGCTGAACTGGTGCCTTTTGCTATTTAGAAAATTTAGAAATTTTTATTTTTTACTTTTCCATGGCAACAAGATGGACTTTCTTTTTTTTACAATTTCCATGACAAGTTCCACCTTAGTTAAAAAAGGTTAGGGTTTGTTTAGATTTAATTATGTCATAAATTCTGCAACAGGGGCGGGGGATATAGCCACGTTAGTGGTAAACTCTTGTTTCCATAGTTAATAGGCAGTATGTCACGAGTCCTGGAGAAGTAAATCTGTGCAAAAGTGGGCGACCTTTTCAATTAATACAAGTAGATCCTTTCATCATGTTCATCAGCTGTTTATTCTTCTTGGCTAGAATGGTTGTTGGACCTAAAAAAAGTGATGACGGTTTCTTATCATTGCTCACAGATTACAGAAGGCAGTAATCATGATGATAACACATCTGTTTGATTAGTCACAAAACATTGTTTTCATAGTCCATATTTTTCAAATCCTTGTTTTGTTTCAGAGAAAACTATGGATGACCTGTCCAATCCCAGCATTCCCTGGCAGAGGAAGTTGCTCAGTCTAGCAGAGGAAACAGACACATTGGCACTTCCTGTTGCAGTGACTGTTGGGATAGCAGCAACAGTCTCCATCATAATAGTGGTGGCCATGTGTGTTTGTGGAGATGCGTAAGTATGACAGAGTGAGAGAGTAAGTGAGTTTGGTTTTATGCCGCTTTAAGCAATATTCCAGCAATATCATGGCGGGGGACACCAGAAATGGGCTTCACACATTGTACCCATGTCGGGATTCGAACCCAGGTCTTCGCCGTGACGAGTGAACGCTTTAACCACTAGGCTACCCAACCGCCCCAAGTATTACAGAACAGCCGCAGAGGAAAAGAATGTTACACCTGTCAGCAATGCTAAAGTACTATGTAAACTGTAGAAGTTGCCAGCATTCAACCCGATGGGATTAAGTAATGGTTATTCGATGTCATCAGACAAGCTGAGTGAATTTGGCAGTTAAGGTCCTTTTCAACTATTATGCTTATCTTGGCCCTTTTCAAGAGAATCAGTCATTTACACTTGATTGTCCTTGAGTTTGTGTATTAATGTCATTGTTTCAACCTTTCAGAGAGGTGCCAGAGCTAAAGGAGATCAAGCCAAGGAAAGGACCCAGTTCGATGAGCCTGGCAAACGCTGCTGTAAGCCCTTACTAGAATCATACATGCATATTGGGGCTGGGACGAGTCCAAATTTACTACCCAGGTACCCAACCCCCCTATTGCCCGACCCTACCTGGTACCTGCTGATGGTCTCAAGAGATGGGTATAAAATGTCCGATTGGGAATAGTTTGACCAGAGCCCTGGCAAAAAGTATTTAAATACACTACAAAACAATCTGGTCATGCATACACTGAAGTTGACTGAAGTTTTATCTTTATTAAAAAATATAAAAGTCAGAAGGAATGCGTTCACAGTCAGAAAGAAATGCGAACATTAGTGACATGTAGTGTAACCATGGAGTTCTAGATGTTTTTTGTCATTAAACAACATATCACGTGACTAAGCACAGGTCCACCCGGACCTGTGAGTACCTGGGTCCTGGTCGTACCCACCCGACCTGAATACCAGAGTTACCTGTCCCAGCCCAAATGCATATAGCATATAGCTTTTAAGAACATCTTGACATGAAGAATTAATAAGAATCATGCTTTCCAAAAGGTTACTGTGTGTTAGGAACATCTTGACTTGAATGAAGGAAATAACTCTCTAACAATGATTCGTTAATTTGTAATTCCTTTTTCTGGACGACTTCCCGGAGAATGGTATGGTCTGGATTGCCAGAGTTTCACAGTATGTGTGTTGAGCAGTGTTCGTCTCTCTGCAGGCTCCAGTACAGACGACCTCGGTGAAGCTGGAGGCCAGTCCCGAGGTGCAGGTCCCGGAGGCCGTCAACGCCAGGCCGGAAAATGGCTTGTCCTCCAACAGACATAGTGGGGCCCCGTCAAGGTTGGTGGTTCTCTCGTCATGATTTGTAGGTACCTGAAGCATGTTGAGATGTCAGTAGGCAACATCTTACAGATGCAGCTGACATACTGACATACTGTCATACTTTCCAAGTCAATCAGCACATCATAGTTCATGATTTGTTGTTAGTTGGCACCATACTCTGAGTTGATGGTTTGATGGTGATAAATCACTTTGGACTTGCATGTTTTAATGTGACATTGTTGAAGAATTAAAACAAATTTGAAATTGACAGAAAAGAGCTGTTTGATTGAGCTGAGGTTAACTTGTGCTATGTCACATGACTTTCATTGACTCGGCTTCGAAGCAGGGTATGAGGGATTTATTGTGCCTCTCAGAAATCCATGTGCACCACTGTCTTGTTCATGGCAGGGTATAAGAGATTTATTCTTCCACTGAGAATTTTTTTTCCCTCCAAGGCAGAAAACATAGTATTTTATCAAGATCACGTGAACCAATCAGATCTCATCATTCTGACATGAAGGTATGCTAAAATGCATTGTAGTGCTATTAATAGTCACTATTCAAGCAAAGGCCTGGTTCTAGAGAGGGAAGCCAGTGAATACTCAGACCAATGAGCAGACGGATTACAACTCTACACAAATATGTGCCACAGTGTTGTGACTGCCTCCTCAACATATTGCCTTGATGTCAAGCAGTGGTAGGGTTCACACAATGTTCAAGTTGAGCTTGTATGACAAGCAGGATTTCTATATGACATCATTTCATTAAACCACCATTTGTTGGATCACTGATCTGCTGACCCTATTTTCTTCAATAATTGACAAAAAATATATCCAAATTTACTCCATTTTTTTACCAACACATCATAAATGCAAAATTATTTTGAAGTTTTATCAAAATCATCTATAAAACTTAGGCTCAATTTGACATTAATATTTCACAAAAATCTTTTAGTCAACAAGTCGTAGGGAAATTCCTTTCATACTAAATGTAGAGTTTTTGTCCCTTGTCCTTGATACACAGAGAGAATAAAATGAAGCTTTTGGCAGACAATGGTTCTTATTTATCCCCCCCCCCGCTCCTACAGGTAATATTTATGAAAATATTCTGTGATCCAGTTGAAAAATATAGAAGCTGATGTCATCTTTTCCCCCCCAAAATGTGTTTCTTCCCTCCTCCAATTTCTGACTTTAACACAGTAAATCTGTGATCCAGCAAATATAGAAATATTGACCTTAGCTTGCTTGAAATAGATGTGTCACTACTACCCCAGACAGGAGAGGGAAGAACATAGTGAACACTAACCTGGGAAGTTTTGTCAATAAAATATATTAAATCACTACAATTATTATGCTTCTTATGTCTCCCAGGAGCAGTCAGATTAGCGTGGGATCCGGTCAGGCCCGGCCTCCAAGTCTACGCGAGCTGCCAGAACTTCCCGTTGGGGACATCGGTCGACCCTTATCTGGGGTTGAAAATGGTGTCCCTCATCGCATCACTGAAGATGATGATGACTACGATCATTTGGGCAAGGAGAGGCAGCCTGGAAGAGGCAGGGCTAATTATGACCATATCAAGATAGAATCTCCCAATGGAACTGTAGCAAGAGACATGCCCCCCGAGAATGAAACTCCCTCCGGAGAGAACTATTACGCTCAGTTACGTGATCGAAACTATGAAACTGTTACAGAAGTAAAACGTAGAGTTGTGGATCCTTATGATCAAGTGAACGTGTGTGATGATCCATACACTGGTTTAAAGGACGACCCTTATGCAAAGGTTAAAGATGATCCTTATGCAAAGGTTAAGGATGATCCTTATGAAAAGGTCAAGGATGATGACACATATGCGAAGGTCAAGGACAATGATGTTTCAAATCAAGTTCATATTACAAACATTAATGTGGGAGGAAGTGAAATTGACCCCTATTCAACATTAGGGGAAGAAACAGAGGTCAGTGTCATGGATGCAAGGTCATCCCGATCAAGTACAAACCTGGAAACTGGTTCACGTTCGTCTGCTGCCAATGTTGTGAACTTTGAAGATCTTCCTCAGGGTGCATTAGGTCCCCATCTGCCGGAACCAAATGATGATTATGCTGTTGTGAACAAACCAAGAAATGCTTCTGCATCCAATGAAGTGCAACCGTCTGAGGAAGTTGATCCCTATGTGATCCCCCCCGAACCTCCCCGAGCATACACAGTAGATGAAGCTGCTGCACAGCCATCCCTGGTCGGAGCAGTTGGTGGTGGCGCCTCCAGACAAGGTAGGGCTTACATTAATTAATTCTCTGAATTAACAACCTTAGTAGTTGGGGAGATTCCAGGTGAGCATAGGTCCAGGTACTTCATGCTTGTCAGAGATGTTGGTGAAAGGTCCAGAAGAGAGGATAGACCTTTCACTAAAAAACTCTCCATTATAAAATCCTGGGGATTCCAGGTCAGAATTGATCCTTATACCTCCTTCCTGTCGAAGGAGTCGACTAAAATGAGGATTGGATTACACAAAGGTGACAACATGGACAATGGCCCTGTTCCACGAAGCGATCGTAGCGCTAAGATGATCGTAACTCCCATTCTTTAGCATCGGCTTTCGACAGACGTAGCTCTACGGTGGCATTGTGGAATGGGACCCTGTCTAAATTTGAAGCCATCCGACCCCAATGGTGTTGATAGTTGCTCGTGCTATCAGTCACTGGTTTGACTGTTTAATCATAGTACCTGATGTTGAATTGTTCTGAGGAATAATATGACTTTAAACATTTTAGGAAATGTTACATGGTTTCTCTATTCAGTTTATCTATAGACTTGATAATTTAGAGCGCTGCAGGGCTATCTTTGCCTCAGTCGAATGTGCTATTAGGACATTTTGACAGTTAACATATCCAAGATTTCCCCCTTACATTTGGGACCCGTGAAGATCCGGGGTAGAATAGGTCTTCAGCAACCCATGCTTGCTGTAAAAGGCGACTATGCTTGTCGTAAAGGCGACTAATGGGATCAGGTGGTCAGGCTCGCTGACTTGGTTGATGCATGTCATTGATCCCAATAGCGTGGATCGATGCTCGTGATATCAATCACTGGATTGTCTGGTCCAGACTCGATTATTTACAGACCGCCGTCATATAGCTGTAATATTGCTAAGTGCAGCGTTAAACAACAAAACAACCAACCTTACATTTGGAACTATTGTTTTTGATGTTTATGTGAATTGTTGTGATGTTGCAGATGACAATCCAGAGAGAGAGTACACGATGGTAACAGCTCGTGAATCTCTTGCCAGTATGACTGCAAGAAATGCCCTAAATCCTTATGAGACTGTCCCTGAAACTGAGAATATGTATGCTACGGTAAGACTTGTCTCCTCACAAACTAGTCCTCTCAGAATCACCATGGGAAGTCTGGGTTAGAGTATGTCCCCAGGAACTTATAGGGGGAGATGTAATGGTTTGGGTGGTAAGGCTGTGATTTAGCTGATTGCGTTGTCAGGCAGTGTTGCGTGAACAAGAACTGAAAATTCTTACTCCCAGTCAGGACATCTTTAAAGCTGAGCATTTTGTCATGAAATCATCATTGTCTGAGAAGTAAAAGTTTTCATTTTCGTGCAATACGAGTTGCAATTTTGTGTGTGTTGTAAGTTGAAAGCAGGAAGTTAACATGTTTTGACCCATCTGTCATGTTTAGTTTCATAGGAAATAAATCTGTTTATAGTATGATGGTAAAACAAGCAGCTGTTCTGTTTGAGGAAATATCTACAGTAACATGGACAGTTGAACTTCTGTGTGCATCCAGTAGTGGCATTACGATACAGCAACACAGTATTGTATCACAGTGTGAGGGTCATGCTAGAATACATCGATTTACAAGCCCTGTATCGCCATACATACGATACATTACATTACAAGTTATAGTGTTGTAAAATCACTTGAATAATGACAGAATCTATTCAAGAACCAGCTTTAGCAGATTCTGTAGTATTTCCCAGTATTTTCTATAAATAGCATAGCATTCAAAGTGCCCTCTAGCCTATATTTCTGTCCTACAATATCCCATCTTTGCTCTCTGAAATTTAAAAAGAAATGATTCAGGATTATGATTCATGCACAAAAAGAAAGAATATCAAGTTATGAAAAAAAGGTACTGAATCGGGATATGAATTGTATCGCACCCGTAGTATCGGGATACATGTCGTATCACAGCCCCATCACATCGTTACACCTCTAGCATCCAGTGCATGAATAGTATCTGTGTACGATAGCTCATTCAGCCTGAAGCTATAGCATTAGATCATACAACATCTCACCCAGCTTATCATGGCTAACTGATTACAGTTAGTGCTCGTTAACAAACCAAGATATGCTGGAATAACCCAGGTCGCATAGATAGCGACATTGTGTCTATATGTGCCCTATCCATTGTTCTGACATCATCAGTCTCGCTTGACCTAAGATCTTTTGTCAAGCTGGAAGTAACATTTTAGGTCATATTTGTTCACATACAGTTCAACTTCTTTGAACATGCGGTAAACTCTTTATTGTTCATTTGAAACCTCATGCTAGTGCATCCTATCTTTGTGCAAGATTGTATCTCCAGTTAACCCCTGGGGTGGTGGGGTAGCCTAGTGGTTTAAGCGCTCGCTCGTCATGCTGAAGACCCGGGTTCGGTTGCCCACATGGGTACAATGTGTGAAGCCCATTTCTGGTGTCCCCTGCCATGATATTGCTGGAATATTGCTAAAACAGGCATTAAACCAAAACCAAACTGACACATCAGGAGAAATACTCACTCACTCACTCACTCACTCACTCACTCACTCACTCACTCACTCACTCACTCACTCACTCACTCACTCACTCACTCACTCACTCACTCACTCACTCACTCACTCACTCACTCACTCACTCACTCACTAACTCACTCATAGGGATTCCAAGTTAGAGTCCCACCAATCCGTGTTGGGCGTAAGAGGTGACTTTGTGGTGGTCAGGCTACCCTGGCAGCGTGGTTCATTACTCACAGTATCAATATCCTCCAATGTTTGGACCTGACTGGAGTATTTACAGGCCACCATCATATAGCTCTAATATTGCTCAGTGTGGCATTAAACAACAAACAGACACTCGAATCATTCCCATGTCTCACCAACTTACACCTTGTATCTAACTTATCACAGATCTGTGAAAATCCAGAGTAGAATAGGTCTTCAGCAACCCATGCTTGCTGTAAAAGGCGACTATGCTTGTCATGAGAGGCGACTGACGGGATCGGGTGGTCAGGCTCGCTGACTTGGTTCATGCATGTCATCGATCCCAATTGCGTGGATCGATGCTCATGATGTCAATCACTGGATTGTCTGGTCCAGACTTGAATATTTACAGACCACCGTCATATAGCTGGAATATTGTTGAGAGCTGTGTTAAGCAACAAACAAACAAAACAAACATAACTTTTCACAAAACAATACAAGCTTTTCATTGCCCTTTCAACAGTTTCCTGACATGGTCACCCAGAATGTGTCCCAAGAACATTGTTGATTGTCATTAGATGCAACAACCTTGGGTATGACTAGGTTGAATGCATGTCATCTATGTAACCTGATGATGTCAGTGTTGACCGCAATATCAACCACTGCAAACCGCCTCCGTGGTCTTGTGGTAGAGCGTCCGCCCGGAGAGCGGAAGGTCCAGGGTTCGATCCCGGGCCGCGTCATACCTGTCTGGGCTAAAACAAGGACTGGTCGGCTCGGAGTCAGTATACTGTGTCTGAGTGGGGTATTCATGTTAAACTGCGGCATGGTATCTCAGTGAGCTAGCACTATAAATCGGCATCAGTCCGGACTAGTACAAGCAGCCACACACACACATACACACATACACGTGCATGCACGTCGCTATATAAGTGCAATAATCTTGGCAAGACGTTAAACCCAATTTCACCTCACCATCAACCACTGCATTATTTATGGCCCATTGTGATGTAGCTGGAATATGCTGAGGGTGGAGTAATGAACTGTGTTCCTGTTGGCTTCAGTAGGACTGGCAACTCTAATAATTACCAGTCCCCCTAATTTTTATCAATCCCAACTTATAAAAAACTTAACAAATAAAAAAATGTATGAAAATTACCTGGTTTTAATTCTTTCAATATCATGAATATCATGTTCAATGCAATGATGTCATCTCTGAAGTAACTTTTTCTCTTTTTTTTTGGTTAATATTTCAAGACTAAGTTGCTACAAATAAATATATAGTTAACCTCGAAGCAAAGCAAAATGTTATATCCTTGCGCTAAAAGTAGACAAGGGGAACCCTGATGGTAACAGACAATCTTACTTCGTTCGAAACAAATGCTTAAATGAATATCACCAATGTTTTGTTCAAAAGCAAAGATTTGTAAGGTACTTTGTTTGCGTGATAGGGACTGGCAGTTACATGAATTACCGGGCCAAGCCTAATTTTACCGGTAAAAGACTAGTAATTACCGGTAAACGGGAACACCAAATGAACCATCCAGACCAAACCATTGTTCAATCATTCTTTTGGGACATAACTTCAGTTGTCTAGCTTACAGAAAGCTGATTGTAACTTCACTTGTATATGCCTGCAAGTCCTCGCTACCCAACAATCGACTGTCAATGTCAGACACCTAAGCACATGTTTGTTTGGCCAAGCACTCATTCCGTCCTGCGCAGTAAGCACTTCCTGTCATGTGCAGTTCGTCTCACTGTGCCTTGTTCCTCTTCCGGGTTACGTAATTGTCAACATGTATCTTTCATCAGCGTAGTCTTATATATCAGGGGCAGTCGGGTAGCCTAGTGGTTAAAGCGTTCGCTCGTCAGGCCGAAGACCCGGGTTCGATTCCCGACATGGGTACAATGTGTGAAGCCCATTTCTGGTGTCCCCCGCCGTGATATTGCTGGAATATTGCTAAAAGCGGCGTAAAACCGTACTCACTCACTCACTCACTTATATATCACACATATTGTTGACAATCATGTTTGATATTGATACAAGCATGCCAAGTTAACACTGCTATTGCATTTGCTCACTGTAATGTTTCTTGTATACGATAATCCTCACCACAACCCACTCCTAGTCAGTCAGCTGCTCAGATCAACTTTTCATTGGATGTGTTTAGGTTGATGGGGGGTCTGGCGATGGGGTGGTGCAGAGGAAGCCGGCGCCGCCAACACAAGAGGTGGTCAATCAAGCTGCCCAGAGGCTGAGTGCTGTCAGTGAAACCTATGCTGAGATTGATGGTATGTCGGTACATGCTTCCTAATAGGACTTGTGTAACATGCTCCAGAATATAAACCATCTTTACCTAGCATTAAATATCAATTTATTCACACAAACAATCACAGAACAACTATAAATGCTATTATATGTCTCACTATGATGAACCAAGGATTCAGTTATGAAATCTGTTATTTTCAAATTATGTAGCTTTGTTTAAATGAATTTGACCATGAATACAAACTAGTAAGAAAAATCTTATGACTGATTAGTTTTCGAGACTTGTTGCTATTGCTATCAGAGTGACAGAAGATATTATGGGAATGTTTCGTCATTTTCATGTATTATCATGAAGATTACATTCCTTCATTATCATGATTACTGTAAATCTTGAAATGAACGCGGGCGTGAATTAAATGCAAAAAATACGAGTGGTCTTCGCATTTATGTCTCCAAATGACTACCCAACAATAAGACAGCCTCACTGCAACAGAGAGAGAAAACAATATGCAAATATTAATGATCGTTGACTAAATACCAGTTTTGTTTAATTTGTGACGATGTCTTCATCTCCCAACTCAGGTAACTACGCCACTGCCGCTGCTCCCGCCCCACCATCCCTCGACTCCCTACACATGATGACCAAACAGCAGGAAGACCGGCGCCATCTTGCCAGCCCAGAAGACTCAGGGATATCAGGGAGTTCCAACGACTATGCCATTGTTGACAAGCGGTCCAGTTTCTCCCCCAGTGCTACACGACTGCCGGAAATCCCCAACTCTCCTGTCCTACCAACAGCGGCACCGATTGTCGTTAATGTCAACGGTAATGCAGAGGGAGCATCAAATGGTGTGACCCTTGACCCCAACTATCAGACTGTGAAAGATTGCATCACATATATTGACGAGAATGATCCAAATTATGAAAGTGTTGAAGAGGCGAAAGCAAAACAACCATCTAAAAGAGACAGACGTCATGTGTACGAAGAAGTGAGTCCCACCAATCCCAATGCGCCAGGGTTTGAAGCTGCGAGCGAGGTGCGTGAACGAGTGTTACAAGGCCACATGTATGAAGATATTCACGAACTCAAAGAACAACAGCGGAAAAGTAAGCGTAGGCCAGCAGGGGGGAGTGAGAAGAGTTGATGGAGTAGCCAAACATCGGGCTACCAGCCTGTGAGTGTGACACTTCCCAGAAAATGTTTTTTGTGGCCATATGCAAGATACTACTTCACCTTGTTTGCCAGACTTTTGTAAGCTGGTTGGTCTCGGAATTGAAACAATTTGATTTGTGTTAAGCAGCTAGAATGAAAAGAAAGAGTTCAAAGTGAAGCTAAGTTTGGAAAATTACTATGGCAAAGCTGAAATAACACATATTTTGACCTAACATTCCAAAAAGGAATTAAGGAACAATTACAAGGAGGTGGACAGAAGAGCCAATAAGGGAGGTGACAAGAAGAGCTTCGTGAGAAAGATGAAAGGAGAACCAGATGATGGCATTGGCCACTAATGGAGAAATGAATCTACATATCACATACTGACTGTTGTTCTCTGACACAGGCTTTTGTTCCATTATGTGCTCATTGATTCTACTTTAAACAATATAATTGGAAAGGTTCGTCCTGCAATATGTTACGTTGTGCAATTTTAAAGTTGTTGATGGAGAAATAATTCCAAGACTTGTTTAGGTTGAAATATTTGTTGACTGTGATGAAATCACAAACTAGTTATGTTTTATTCTCAGTTCACATTTTAAATGATCAGAACGTTTGATATGTGATATGATTACACATCTTACAGAAGAAATATGATATCTCCAAAACAAGAAATCCAAGTGATTTTTATGTTTTTAAGACTTGAAAACTTACAATGAGAATCATTCAGTTAACAATGTCAGTTTAGTTTATTTAAATTTAAATTCAAAACACATTTGTTTGCTTAAGCTGACAAGTTTCAAAATGGCAGCTTCCTAACTTGCTTATGTTACCATGGTTACACAGGTATATATAGTGTCGTCACCAGTGTATGTATATATATGTGTATATGATCAATATTCAGATTTTATTCTCATGTGCTCAGAGGTTTGAACATCCTCATAGTTTTATGCTATGGATATTCTACTGTAGATGATAATCAGCTGATGCTCTTAGCACTTCCTTAAAACAGGTTAGTCTGTAATACATGTATTTGAGAAGCATGTTGTATCTTATATGAAGAATTTACCAAACATAATTGCAAAATGTTGCCACCACTTGATATGTCATAATCCCAATCTATATGAGTTTGTATAAAACAGACACATTACCGGTATTGAAAAGGTTAAAGTGATGAATAATTGTGTTTTATGGTTAATATAACAAATGAATTAGGATTTTCGTCATCTTTATCAAGAAGTTCAAATTCTAAATTCCTATTTCTAAAATGGTAATCAGCTGTAAATTTTTATCTATGAACTTTTACCATATTACCAGAAATGCAGATGCCTCTTCATGTAGCTGTATGTATAGCTTATTAATTTGAAATATGATCAGTATTGCTTACATTGTGATAACATATTTTAATAACTTTTAATTTGGAACCGCCTTGAAATGAACTCATCATTCTGAAATGAAGTTCTGAGTCAAGGTCAAGGTCACAGAAAAATGAATGTGTTATTAAAAATTAGATACAAAATAACTAACCTGTAGTACATCGTGTACATGTTTACCTTTCATGCCATATTTGTTAAAGAAATTATTTGATAAATTGATAATATTATTCACCTAATATTTATTTTCAATGTTGCATTGGACCAATATGTTTTCTGATAGTACAGTTAGATAAAAATGACAGACTAACAAATATTATGTCATCATGATATCAATTTAAAATCTTTATATTTGTAAATAATTATAAAATGTCTTATTTATGATTTGGCAGTCCTAGTGCTATTGATAATTATTTATCAAAGATAATTTGAATATTTATTGCATGATGAAAAGAGTCCATTTTCAAAAAAATATTTTCATTTTATACAGTGTAGGTATAGATGAAGTAAGGTTAACTGTGCAGCGTTGTCAGCAGGAGGGTTAACGGATGCACTTGCTTCACATCATTCCAGAGTCCTCCTAGATTCGTCCTAGACTCGTAGCTCATGCCGTGCAAAGGTCATGTTGTGTTGATAAAAGCACATGCTCAAAATAATGAAATAACTACACCAGAAATGCTTTACCACTATCATGTTGTTTGCATGTACATTAAATATTCATGAATGACACTGCTCAACAGTTACACCAATCCATTTTATCTCGTAGTAATGTGCTGAATACGTGTCTCCATGCTGAATATAGTCCTTGTTCATTTGATATTGTCTTTTTCACCATATCTACGCAATTTAAAGCAGTTGACTTTCATTCGGTGCTTATATATTTCTCTTCAATATTTATCCAACACACTATGTTTCAATTCACACATGTAAAAATAAGTTCTGTTTTAAAAATACTTTCGATGAGAAATTTCAGAATATGTACCATTTTGTATCAGAGTACCACTTTCATTTGAGGATTTCGACTTTCTGGTATTCTATCATTTAGTGTTGGTGTTTCGTCGACATTTCTGTAAAGGGCTTTGGCATATGTTATTCTGTGAGGGTTGTATGTGTTGGTTGTTCTACTTGGATAGACTTGGAGACTGGCAAGAATGTACTTATAATGTCAAATTTTCACCTTATCATCATGGATCCTTTAAGACTTTACTCAGAATTTCTTTTGTAATTTTGTGGTATGAATAGGCCAATCAATCATGTTAGTGAGCGTTAAGTACTATCAAATTAAAATTTCAAATGTGTTGCATAATAGGTGTTCTGGGGGGTGTGAACCAGAATTGGTTATAGTCGAGCATCATAAACCTACCCATAGTATGATATACTGGTCTTATACATATGATAATCTATCTATGGTAGAACAAATAACAATTTCAGGAAAAGAAGAGCATGAAAGAAAATGAGGATATAGACAATGCTCTGTGATAATACGGGTGCATGTTTATACCAGTAGTACAAAGTAAAACAGGAAGAAGTGCCAGTGTTGCACAGAACCTTCTTATTGTGATTGCAAACCCCGATCTGCTTACCTGGTAGGTGATAAAGGCCTATATTCATTGTGGAGAGCCTCTGTTATATGTACTTAAACTACACACATACTTGTTGTACTGTGATGTCATATTGTCCTGGTGAATATGTGGATGTGTAGAGATATAATTTGTTAACACATGTTTTGTTTTCCCCTTCTGTATCCTGACCCCAGATGACATACAGTGAGACATATCCTCTGACTTAAACTGACCCAGTGCTTATCCCATCCAGAACTGTGGCTTGTTGCTCCACAGCCATTCTATGGGTGTTCTTTAAGTCCATCTAGAAGGGATGTTCAGCTTTATTTAGTAGTGTTCTTCAGGCATATGCAGTAGGGTTCTTTATAAACATTTGGTATGGTTCTATAGGCTTACATAGTTGGGTTCTTTGGTCTTATATAATAGGGTTCTTCAAGGGTTTGTTGTGGGGTTCTGATGGACCATCTTGTAGGATTCCTTAGTCCCGTCTTGTAGGATTCCTTAGACCCATCTTGTAGGATTCCTTAGACCCATCTTGTAGGATTCCTTAGACCCATCTTGTAGGATTCCTTAGATCCCTCTTGTATGATTCCTTAGACCCATCTAGTGGAATTACTTAAGTCTATCCAGTGGTGATCTTCAGGACCATCTTGTAGGATTCCTTAGACCAATCATGTAGGATTCCTTAGACCCATCTTGTAGGATTCCTTAGACCCATCTTGTAGGATTCCTTAGACCCATCTAGTAGAATTACTGAAGTCCATCTAGTCAGGATCCTTTGGACCCTTTAGTGGGGTTCTTTAGGTTTATCTAGTTGTTTTGTTTTTACTTTGACCTCTATTAGTGGGTTTTTTCCAGGCCCAATCTAGAAGGGTTCTTTAGAAGGCATATAAACTATTAGAGTTCTTCAGGATCAACTAGTGGGAATCTTTGGATCTGTTTGACATGGGGTGCTTTGGGCCATCATAGTATTGTTGATTCAAGTCCATCTAATGGGGGTCAGCAGACCAATTTCGTTTTTTACAGACACAGCTTGTTGGGACTGATCTTACACGTGTAATAGGGTTGGTTATTCATGTCCATCTAATTGGGTTCATCTCGTTGTGCTCCTCACACTTTTCTATTGGCCTCTGTACAGAGGCTGTGTCCATAGGCTGCCAGAACAGTGTTGAACCCTGCTCACTTGCTAGATGACATTTGATTGAGAGCTTGTATTAGAAATGTGAAGGAATTTTTTATTAAATTTATTTTTCTGAACACTTTTTCTTATTCAAATATTTCTTTTCACCAAAAATGCAAGAACTTAACCTTAATAATATCACACACATATTTCTGTGTCTAAACGTTTTACATCTGGAAAACTATTGAAATCTCTGTTATATGTATGGGTGAAAGACAACCTATGGGGCCTATAGACTACCATCTCCAGCCCTGACTGAGCATATTGTAAAGGGTTTGGAATAAACTTTTATGAATTGGAACAGATCTGTATCACTGATGTTACTGAATGAGAAAGGACAATTCGTGTTTTACTTACTGAATTGTTTCACTGTCATTACTAATTCAAAGATCAGAAAAAGGAGTGATTTCTTCTATTGAATAAGGTGGGTTTTTTAGAGTTGCGTACATTTTAGCAGCTCTGTGTAGTGATGTTTTGTTTATATAGAGATTTTCATATTTTTTAAAACCATATTTTAGATATTTGATTTGCTTGCTGCATATTACAAAATATTTCAGTTTATGGATAAGTACTCTTATTTGATAATATGATAGGTTGTAATATAAGTTTGACATATATTTCATTTTCCTAAAAACTGACCCGAATTGATGTTCCACATGTTTCATGCTCAGTTCACAGGGTTAAATCGATAAATTTGTGCCCCATTTTAAACTTTATTGAAACCCTTACCTTATCATTTTTAATGGAATTTGCTCAAAAGGTGCTAATTTTAGCATTGATTTTTAAACATTTTGACAACACTTTTTTTTTTTTTTATTGATGTTTTATGTCACAAGGATCGGTCCCTGAATTTTCTTTTACCTAGAAAACTGTCAAGTGATCTCGACACATTGTTGGCCAGTGGGAAGGGCTGGGTGCAAGGTCCATGGAAATGTGTTGGTAGTTTTACAAATAACAGACACTGGTAGATGACGCAGTATCTTCAGCTAGTACAAACAGATCAGTGTGGAGTACTATCTAATGCCATTATTTTCTTATTTGATGGATCAAGGATTTGTTCAGCCACAGTACTTTTGGTTTTAGAACTTTTGAATGTGCAAAATGTAGGGTTTCTCACTTTTGTAAGGGAGATAATTTTGTACAGGTCTGTTGATGAAGT